GGGGGGTGGTTTTTAGAAAAAAAAAACATTGAAGCAACAGATTCCCCTTGTAATATTTTCCTTTTCATTCCACAGCTCTACAGTTTCATTAATTCTTCTTTTTTTTTTTTTTTTTTTTTTTTTTTTTTTTTTTTTTTTTTAATAACAACACCAATAACACCGCAGGGGAATTTATCAAGGGAAGCCAGGCTCTCTCAATTAACCTGAACTTGTATTTTAGGCCTCTGCATAAAAGGGATTTTCTGTCTTACAAAAGCTGAAGTGAGCTGCTGTGGTGTTTCTCCTCAGAAAAAGCACAAATAATTGGGCGATGGTTTGGTTTTAATTACACTACACTTATTTTACTCGATTTCAGAGCATTAGCACTATTGTTTGGTACATTCTGTGAACTTCTCCTGGCTTGTAAGTCCCCAGTGGAAGTGGGAATTACCTGGGAGGGCAAACACAGGAGCCGGATACGTTTTTAAGACCACARTGCCAATTGATTTTTTGAGATCACACAAAGCTTCACTTCCTTTAAGGSCCTTCCCTCTGACCCTCTTTGGGGTGGTGGCACTCAGGCTTTGTTACTCCAATAAAAGACTCCTGAACTGCTTTAGTGTGGGTACCTTCATTTCCACCCATTTTGGGGGCCGTTCCCTGACCTTTCCTGTGGCTGTGAAGCATCCCCCTTTCCTCTCCCCTTGGATATTTTGGGCAGCACATCCTCAGAGGAGCTGCTGATTCGATTATCAGTCTCAGTTGTTAAAAAAAAGATAAGTCCCCAGTGAATTTAATGTGAAATTAAGAATTTAGGCACACAGATGCGTAAAATTTTTGTTCAAGGCAGCTCTGAGCTCTGCTGGCTGCACCAGGGCAGTTGTGGCTCTGAGATCTCATCTGCACACACAGCCTTAAACTTCCTCCTCTCCAGAGTGTKACTTTTCCAGAAATAATGGTTTTTAGATCAAAACTTTGTTCTAAAGGAAGTTTTGGGTGACCAGAACAGAATTTGGTGGAACTTCTGGAGAGCAGTCCTGTTCTCCAGTATCACAGTGTCTGTTTCTCTTACAACATTTCTGTGAGCTTTAATGAATTTTTATCAATGATTTAAATGGTTTTTTTTTAAAGTTGAGTAGAATGGGTCAGTTTCAGTTTAAGGCCACRTGGAATAGTGCAAAGTTAGCATAAGGACTGGATAGTCACAGTCCTGTTGCTCAGCAAATATTCTGTAATAGCAAAGGATTATTATTAATTTGTTTATTGTTGAACCTGGGATTACATTTAAATGGAAATAAACCAATCCAACCTTCTTTCCTGACACAAAACTAGATGAAACCAGATGTTTTGGTCTTCAGGCATGAAGTTTTACATTCCAAGGGCAAGGTGAATTTGCCTKTTCTCAGTTTMARTGTGTGTACAGGTTTAATCACCTGWTCATCTGCMTGGCAGRTTCTGCTCCATCCTTTCCAGACTTTCCCTTAAATTTGCACTTTCTTGTGTTTTGCAGTGCCCTCCTTTTGGGGTTTGGTGAACTCAGCTTGGAACCTTTGCTCTGTGGGGAAAAGACAGTCMCCTGTCAATATTGAAACCAGCCATATGATTTTTGATCCCTTCCTAACTCCTCTTCGCCTGAACACAGGGGGAAGAAAGGTAGGTGCTCTGTCCTCTTATCTGCTGTATTTTATATTTCTAAAGCTTTTCTTTTTATCTGCCAGCTCCCAAGCAGAATAACAAYGTTATGTTGTGTTTTAAAGGTACTTCTCAAATAACTAAATTATCAGTTCTGTTTATCCAGCCAAAGGGTCGGCRCTTCCATCCTGAAATTATTTTATAAATAAAACGTCTCGAACCTGTTAGCAATCTTGGCAACAGCCATTATTTCATCGTGTTTTTGTGTTGTTTTCCTTAGGCTGGGGTGCCTAAAAGGGTATTTTAAAGCATTTATTGCTTGTTGCACRCAGGGAATTGTCTCAGAGTGCAGCACAGAACAATGCAGGTGAAAAAGCAGCGCCAGTTACAATCAGAGCAAGCAGAGAGCACAACAAAAGGTTATTTGGAAATGATTTCTCTTCCCTTGTTGTCATGACAAACCAGATGTCTGCTGGAAACAGCCTGACGCTCCAGGAGTTTGCTCTGTGCTGCCCATGGAGGTTCTGGTGGCACTCGTGCAAATATTTCAGAATTTTTGGGGGTTTCGTCACAGAAATGGTGGATGGGGATTGCTGGAGGATGGTGATGATTCCAGCTCTGGCCCAGATTTCAGGGTAATAGATGCATTTTGCTTTTTAAGTGGATGTGCATGGACGTTTTTAAAAATTTTTAAAAAAAACCAAAACAACAACCAAAAAACCTAAAACAAACAAAAAACCTAACAAAGAAACCCCAAACAAACAAACAAAAAAACACCAAAAAAAAACCCAAAAGACAAAAACCAACCAAAACCAACAACAAAAAAATAACCAACCTAGAGTTTTTACTGATTCTGATATTTATGTAAAGGCTTACATGTTTCACATTATTTATAAATTACAGGATGACAAAACATGGAAGTCAAGAACCTTCAACCCAGGAGGTTCAGAATAATCAATGACTTTAGCAGTTCTGAGAATTCAGCTGGGTTTTTGTACCGGCTCAGAATGAAGCAAATGTCTGGTTATTGATAAAATTTTAGAGGCACTGACAAGGTGGGAGATGCTCTGTCAGTGATGAGCTTCATRCTCACAAACACTGTCCCTGGTGACCTTCATCACATCACAAGGACAGGATTTGTTCTGGGTGTGATTTATTTTAAACAGTTCTCCAAAACAGATAAATCAAAATTCTCCCTTGAGAAAAAAAGATCGCAGTTTCAATGCCTTCATAAAAATTCTTCATTCCTAGTTAAGGCCTCGGTGAGGATTTGATTTGGCAGGTGGTGTGTTTGTGTTCACTTCTTTGGGAATGTTTTTTATGTGTTAAAAATCAAAATAAAAAGKTGTGTTTCATCCGGGCTGCAGCTCTCAGCTCTCTGAACCGACAGCAGTGGCAGCCAGGGAATTCCTGAGACAAGACTTAACTGTGATTATGCTGTACATGAAAGGATTGTGTGGAGCTGATCCTAAGGAAAACGGTGAATAAATAAAAAAGGGATTTGATGTGGTTTCAAATCAGAGTGATGAGAAGCTGGCTTGCACACACAGGGAATGAGAGAGAGCTACTCACACACTGAGTCAGAATTACAAACCTCTGGGACAGGGAAAGGAGGAGACTCAGGCTCTGAGAGAGAGCAAGGTGGGAGAAAAAGTTCACTGCAGTCCAGTAGATTCAAAATTTTGGCAAATGTTTTTGCTGTTAATTTAGAAGGTCAGTTTTAGCTCAGTTTGAAAAATATTTACATCATTTTGAAAGCAGCATTTCTGCTTGTGTGTGCTTCACTGTGGAAATTAACTGGAGGAGGAACAGAAGTGTTCACACTCAGGAACAGAATCCAAGACCAATCTATGATCACTGTCTTAATTCTTCCTGACTTAATTTGCCCCTTCCCTGCCTTGCCACTCATTTCCTCTGGGCTTTATTTTTATTTTGCAGCTTCTATAAATCATTCATCTGTTTAGCTCCCCTTTTCCACCTTGGCAGACCAAAACTCTCCTATTCCACTACAGAATTTATGCCTAAAGTTTCTACCTTGAGCACATTCTTTTCTAGCTCCTTTGCACAATTTATATTATTTCAGTGTCACTAGGGGAAGCCTTTCAATAAACCAGATGGAGACTTCCCTATGATTTTTTAGGCAGCTTGGAAATMTTTTTTTCTTTTTTCTAAAGAGAAAAATATTATTTTTATTTTTCTTTTCRGTGGTTTTTCTTTTTCCTGAGGAGAGGGGATGGTCTGATGGGGATATGAACGACGGCATCACTGTTTTCCTACAAGGGGAGAAAAGCCCAGTCTGGGGTCTGTCACACACCTGGTGACTTCATGGTTACAGAGAAGGAAATTCTTCCCATTTCCTTCAGGAGCACAAGAGATGGCAGTGCCATTTCCCAAATATTGATACCTTTGTGATCCAATTTTTTGCAATAAGGTTGCAGTGAGCAGTGATCCAATGCTTTTTGTGCTGCCCAGCGATTGCAGGGCAGTCTCAGGTCAYGCATTCACAATTCCAGCACCATCAGAGTTATTTTTTCTGAGTTGTGCTGGGTTATTCTGGGKTGGGATGGGTTATTTTGTATTTCTGATTCTCCATTTCCTGTGAAAGTGGCTTTTCGGGTCCTGAAGCCTTGAGTGCCATTGATACAGATAATTGGATTTCAAGATCCAGAATCTCAGCACAAGATATTTAATGAGTTTACACGCAGATAAATTCCCCAGAAGAAATGCTGCTTTTGAGGAAAGTCCCCAGGTTCCAATTCTCTCTAAGGCCCAGCTTTGTCTCTCCATTATCCATTTTGGTGAATTCAGCAGCCCATTTCACAGGAGCAGCCCTTTCTGATAAACAATGCCAGCCTTTATTCATTTGCAAATGAGTTTTTGAGACATTCCTCCGTCACAAAGAAGGGCACTGGTTTTACTTTCTCTGCTCTTTTTGCCTTGGATTCACTTAAACACCAGGGAAATTACAGCAGCAGAATAATTTACATTTGGGCAGGAAGCCCTGTGGGTTGCATCTCCAAAGCAGGGATTTCCAGCTTTTGCTGGATAATTTTGGGGCATGAACAAACCATTCCATTTCCCACTGACCTGGGCCTTTCCTGGGATTCCTTTCTCCACTCATGTCTGCCTTTTGGCCCCCAAAATTTCACCCCCTGCCATTCTCCAGCCCATCTGCCTTCGGTCTCCTGGTTCTCTGTGGATTTAATTTCAAGATCCCTATTTCTAAAATTCTGTAAGACTAAACCACAGTTCTTGGCCATCCTTTTTTATTTCTTTCTTATTCTTCTTCCTTGTTTTCATTTTTTTTCCCCTTAAAAACACCTGAAGCAGCAGCATTTGCTTTAGACACCAATTGCATCCTTCCAATTAATTAAACCTTGTCACATCAGTGACCTCACGTCTTGAGAGTCCTTTTAGGTCACGCTCAAGGACTGAAATTGTTGCCTCAAGCTGGTAAAGTTCTGTCTAAAATCACTTCATTTTTAAGGCAAGCAAGGACATTATACCTGATGTTGACCTCTGGGGAAATAAAAAGGAATTGATGTCTKCTGGCCAAGGACTGTTATTGTATCGCTCAGTGTGCACAAATKGAAGTTACTCAGCAAGATCCACTCGTATGGAGCATTAATGAATGCAATCACCGATTATTTAAATTAATATCTTTATAAATAATTGGTTGGTTCTATGCATCACGAGATAATGGCGAYGTTTAGCAGCTTCTAAACCAAAACAAGGCAGGAGAAAAGAGATTTATGGATTGAAATCAGTTAAATGGTTTCTCTGCCAGCTAGTTCTGATTCCATGCTGCTCAATCAATTCAGAGTATTACCAGCATTTTTCTCCAGAGTGCAATATATGACAACTGCCAAGCTTTGCTTTGGTGATTACTAAAAGGACAGATACTGGTACGAACCATATTTCAGYACTGCAGGAATATAAAAAATGAATTGTTAGAAATGGTCCAGGAGGAATGGATAGCAATAAGACATCAATGTCATCTGTAAACTGACTTGTGATAAATTATTAGAGGGCTTAATAATAGGATTTTTGATTTAGAGTGGCTTTGGAAAGTCAAAAGTCTGATGCAAACATCGAAAACTTTAATGAATAAAAAATGAAATGCAGTGTTGCTGCTTAAATAATTGTTTAAYGTTTCTGATGACTCTACAGTTCTGCACGTTCTGGGATGTGTTAGTGGGAATGGAACCAGGTTACAGTAACTTGTTTATTCACCTTCATTGAGTTTAGAAACTCAGCATTTCTGAAAAGTTCTTTTTTCTATTTTCTTTTCACACTTCCATCCAAAATGGTTAAATCAAGACACTCACTGTGTCTTAATGGCCAGTTTTAATTATGACACAGATAGGGTTAAGGGGATAAAAGGGTTTTATTTTGGTATTTAATGGGATCCCAGGTACATGTAAGCCTGATAGAGTGGAAGAATATTTAAAAATGCATCCTTTGTATAATACGTATATAATTTTTTTAGTTTTTTATAAATTAGCATATCCATCTAGAATTCCTCAATAAGAAACTTAACAAATGAAGTKATRTCCCCCTCTTCTAAAGARTTTTCTCCTGRAATGAGTCCAGAGTTTWATTTACATGATATGTCTAGGGAGAAGGCTTCAACCAAGGYTGGAGCCTSAGGTTTGAGACAGCACAGGGCACRCTGARGATTTATTGAGGATGTTTGGKTTCTCTGCCCAGCAGAACYCTTAAACTAATTCTGGCTAGAAAATCAGRCTACAGGAATTATAAYCATGCAGGCTAARGCTACAGRGSTACATCAGGSGTACAGAAAATGCCYAAAAGGKTCTATAAAATATATAAAATATATCAAAGRGTACATAAAAAGGAAAGGCAAAAGTCATCAGGCATCACCCAGATGTTGAGCAGGATTTCTGCCGTGCAGCTGGAGCAAGTTCTGGGTGACAGACATGTGTTAGTTGTGCTGGGGGATAAATGGCACCGCTGCCAGGGTGGGAAATGTGCCATCCCCAGATCTGAGCAGCGTTTTGGTGT